CCTGCCGGCTCCCAGCTGCGCCCAGCTCCGCTACTCCGTGCCCGAGGACCGGGAGCCGGGCTCCTCGGTGGGCGACCTGGCCAAGGATCTGGGGGTGGAGGTGCGGAGCCTGGCCACCCGCAACCTGCGCCTGGTGAGCGAGGGTGGGCAGCGGCACTTCCAGGTGGACCTGGCGGCGGGTGTGCTGCTCCTGGACAGCAGGCTGGACCGGGAGGCACTGTGCGGGCAGAGCCCCACGTGCACCCTGCACCTCCAACTCGTCATGGAGAATCCCCTCCAGCTCCACCGTGTTGAGGTGGACGTCCTTGACGTGAATGACAACGCGCCCCAGTTCCTCAAGCCAGAGGTGGTCTTGGAGATCACTGAGGTAGCCAACCCTGGGACTCGGCTGCCCTTGGAGGTGGCAGAAGATCCGGATATGGGCTCCAACTCCATCTCCACCTACGAACTCAGCCCCAGCAAGCATTTTGCCCTGAGCATCAATGTGAGAGGAGATGGTGTTAAAATGCCCGAGATCGTACTTGAAAAAGCACTGGATAGAGAGAGAGTGGCTGTTCATCACCTAACGCTGACAGCCCTGGATGGAGGAAATCCGGTGAAATCTGGCACTGCCAAGGTTACCATCCATGTCCTGGATGCAAATGACAACCCTCCTGTCTGTGACCCGCCCATATCCAAGGTACATCTGGAGGAGAACGTGCCAGTGGGCACCCTGGTCACCAAGTTGAATGTCACCGACCTGGATGAAGGTCCCAACGGGGACGTGGAATATTCTTTCAAAACTAGCAATAATGCACCTGGTAAATTCACCAAGCTGTTCTCCTTAGATCCCCGGACAGGGGAGATCAGAACCAAAGGCCCGCTGGATTATGAGGAATCCAGTGCTTACGAGATTGCAGTTCGAGCCAGGGACAAGGGATCCCCAGCCATGGAAGGACACTGTCACCTGCGAGTGGAATTAATTGATATCAACGATAACAGCCCAGAGATCGTGCTGACCTCTCTCTCCAGCCCAGTGCAGGAGGATGCAACCCCGGGCACTGTGATTGCCCTCATTGGCGTGAAGGACAGCGATTCTGGTGACAACGGGCAGGTCCGTCTGCAGATAGCGCAAGACCTCCCGTTTAAACTGGTGTCATCTTTTAAAGAGCATTTCTCGCTGGTCACTAATGGTCCCCTTGATCGGGAGAAGGCCAGTGGATACAACATCACAGTGAGGGCTGTGGATTCAGGGTCCCCACAGCGGGCCACGCAAAAAACCTTCTACCTCCAAATTGCTGACGTGAATGATAACGCGCCAAATTTCTCCAGCCCTTTTGATACAGCTCACGTTCAGGAAAACTCCCTTCCTGGAACTTCTGTTTTTTCAGTGTCAGCATCTGATCCCGATGAGGGTAGCAACGCCAAGCTGTCTTACTTCATCCTGCACAACGGGATGCAGGATGTACCCATCTCAACTTACTTCCGAATCGACCAGGACAACGGCACCATCTACACCGTGAGAGCTCTGGACTACGAGCAGGATAAGGTGTTCCAGGTGCCCGTGGAGGTGAAGGATGCTGGGTCTCCTGCGCTGAGTAGTACTGCTGTGGTCCATGTGTTTGTCCTGGATGAGAATGACAATGCCCCCACCATTGTCTACCCATCCGTCCCCAGGGGCTCTGCCTTCCACCAAACCATCCCGGCCTTGGCAGAACCTGGCTACCTGGTCACCAAAATTGTAGCTGTTGATGCTGATAGTGGCCATAACGCCTGGCTGTCCTACCAGCTGCAGGAGACCGCCGAGGCTTTGCCTTTCCAAGTGGAACGCCGCTCTGGGGAGATAAGAGTTGCACAGGCTCTCAGAGAGTCAGAAGATCCCCACAGGCTGGTGGTTGAAGTGAGGGACAATGGGACACCGTCCCTCTCGGCCTCCGTGGTGATAGTCATTTCTGCGGAGGAAAACAGTGTGCAGGACTTCGCCAAGTCCTTGGACATCCCCATATCTTCTCCCAAGGATACCAACCTAACCCTTTACCTCATCATCTCCTTGGTGTCCATTTCCCTTGTGTCCTGCGGAGGGACTGGCCGCCAGCCCGCCTCCCATTTCCGTGGGCAGATGAAGCCAGATGGCTTCATCAAGTACCTGGACGTGGGAGGAGCGGGCTTGACCTCCCAGGCGCAGAATTACGCCTCTTGTTTCTCACCCATGTCTGACCAGAGCGATTTCCTCTTTGTAAAACCTTTCAGCCATTCTAGCACTGCGGAGACGGTGGCTGCCTATGAGCAGGTGACCAGCGCCTTAGCGAGTCCCTGCGATGGGGTAAGAGTTGGGTGTTTCTTACTGTCCTGTCCGCTAAGCGCGACGGTCCGTAGCATCCAGGCCAGTTGGCTGTTCTCTGTCTGTCCTTCCACTGAAGAAGGTGGCTTCAGGGAATGTGTGTCACCGTCCCCTCCTGGGAGGTGGCAGGTGACAGCTTTGGCTCGGCTTGGTGGAGCGGTGGGGGGAAGGGGCTGGGTCACACCGTAAAATCAAAGACTGTGTGTTCATAGAAGTGGAGAGTTTTCCCTTGGCCCCGCTCGTACTCTTTTCTTTTTAGAGTGATTCTTAGCACGGTCAAGAACGTGGGTTTTGGGTGTTTAACTGCGGGGTTCTCTTGAACCCCTTCGTTCTGCCTGGCATACGAACTGTGGTGCAGGAGGGGGTTATCTGGCAGCAAAGTTTGCTGGGGTTTCCTTTGCTCTGTTTTAGAGGTGCTTTGTGGAAATCTCTCATTTCTTGACTCCCAAGTGTTAGTAATCACTGAGCGTGCCCTGGCAGGAGATCGTTTTCCACCTTGGTCGTTTTGAGCGAGGGGCGTTTTTTGCAAAGATCCGGGTGACCTTAGGTGCCCTTGGGCTTGCAGAGACCCAGGCAGCGGTGAGCTTTGAAAACTTTAGCCACTTGTATTCAGATGTCTAAATACGGATGTAGGTGACTGCGTTTAGCTGTAGCTTTTATAACTTTGGGATAAAAAAAGTAAAGTAATTTTGTGTCATAAGTGCCTGCCCTAAA